CGTGGTTTGAGATAAAGACAGTTTAATAAATAAAGCAAAAGCCACGCACGCAAGCAAAGCAAAACAAGGAATCCATTCACCACTCCCCATGGGCAGGCAGGTGTTCAGCCATCTCCAGGGAAGCAGGGCTCCATCACACGTAATGGTTTCTTGGGAAGACAGACACCATCACTCCAAACATCCCTCCACTCCTTCCTTCTTCGTCCCAGCTTTATATACTGAGCATGCTGTCATATGGTATGGAATATCTCTTTGGCTAGCCTGGGTCAGCTGTCCTGGCTGTGTCCCCTCCCAGCTTCCCGTGCACTCCCAGCCTCCTTGCTAGCAGGCCAGCAAGAGAAGCTGGACTGGTCTTGACTACTTAGCAACAACTCAAAACATCAGCATGTTATCAACATTTTGTCATCCCAAATCCAAAACATGGCCTCACACTAGCTTCTGTGAAGAAAATTAACTCTACCCTGGCTGAAACCAGGGCACAATTTTAGCTGTAGCAATTAAGATCTCATTTTTCTGAAGTCGTAGCTTCAAAGATGGCAGGAACTTTGAATGAGCACCTCCAGACCAGTGAGATTTAGAGAGATGGAGAGGGGGAGAAGAAGGATTGTTATTTTTAATATCACAAATTATACTCTTTGTGCTTATCCATCAGGGCTCAGGAAGAACACAAAACACTCTTAAAGTAGTTAGTCATAATTTTTTAAAAAAAGATCTTCCGGCATGCATTTTTTCCTTTGTAGGCAGATTTTCAGCTACCAAAGCCCAATAAATGATGCAGAGTAGAAGAAAAAAATTACACAGGAGGTTTTAAGGTTTTGGGTTTTTTATTAACTAAATTATTCTAAAAGGATGTAACCTTTAAATTCATTTTTGTTCTATTTTTAAAGTAAAACTACAAACCTGTAGGAGCATATATAATTACAATTTGCACGTGCTTAACAATTTCAAAAACATGGAATCCATTTGGATGTGTTGTAAAGAAGGTCCCAGTTTCTAAGACCATTAGATTGACAGAGTCCTACACAACTTAATGGGAGTTCACCCCTGCTCAACAAGGCTGCAGTTTCAAGATCCAACTTACATTCTTCCAAAAAAAAAAAAAAAAATTTCCTTATTTTCTTAAAGCTAGTTCTCTTAAAACAAAAAGAAGTCACACATACCATCCTTCTGCTCCACCTCTTCTGCTTGTGAAGCACATGGAGAGCTCTGGAGTACAGAATTTACGTTTTCTTCTAAGCCTTTTGGAGACACAGGTTCTCGTTTAACTTGTACTGAGGTGTCAGGAGGAGCGGTGAGTGTGATGCCAGAAGACTGGAATGGTGACGGTACATTTACATGAACAGAAGCTCCCAGTGGAGGTACAGAAGAAGACAAAGTGTCCAAAAGGGGCAGGAAGGAACCTGCAGGAATTAAGTCAGCTGCCATCTGAGATTTGCTATTTCTTCTCTCACTTAAAACACTACAGGAAAGTTGCTCTGACAGTTCAGAAGGTTCATATGTTTCTAATGGCAAAAGAGGAGAGGAAAAAAAAACAGAACAAAAAGTTCACATTTTACAATAAAATTTAGTGGTGCCAAGAGCTCATTTCTTGTGGACACACAGACATGGAAGAGAAAAATTTGTATAAAATCCACTAGATGGCACTACCAAAGATGACAGATCACACTTGAACAATAGAGACTTCAATATTGAAAGCCTGCAATTTTACTGCACAGTTCAAATGAGTGAATTCAAGTTAAATGCAATTTTTACAATATGCTGAGTTCCAAGAATATAAAAGTCAGCATTCCACTGTTGTAGTGTTATGGTATCTCATACCTTGTAACCCCTGCAAGATCTGGATTCTCTGACTTCTCAGTGTACTCATTTCCATGGTTATCTGCAAAACAGCTGTGGTTTAAATCAGTCCTACTTAAGACAGTTTTTCAGGCTGCTAACTTCCAGTTCAGACACTCTCAAAAGCCAACTATTACCTGTTGCTTTAATACAAGGAACCGTTGAACCTCAACATATGCAGCCTGCAGGGCAGCCCTAGCCTGCAAGAGACTGCTGTCCACACTATGCAGTGACTTGCTTAACTCTTCTTCCCTCAGCGAAATAGCCAACAACTGGTCTACCTGAGAACGTTCTGAAAAAGAAATAAAATGTGGAGTATAATTGTACTTGACAATACATTAAAATACATGAATATGCTATCTCAATAAATATTACCACCTCAGAATGTAAGTCACATAAATTAGGTCAAGCACCAAGTGTCATACAAGAAGCTGAAAAGGAATACCTATATGCAGGAATAGCCACATCTACATGAAAGAGCAAAGTTGAGTATTCCTCTTTACAGGATCTCAACCTTGACTCTATTTCCATCACAGCTTTGCCAGCATTGATTTAGTTTAGTTGATCAAAGCCATTCTCTTCCACAAAGATCTTTCCTTGAAGTGCATCCATACATAAAGTATAAATACACACTTCCCGTTAACATAATCAAAAAGGCAAAGGCAAATTTAAGCTAAGCAAGATTTAAATTATTCCATTAATTCTGAAGCCAAGGAAAGGCAACTTAAGAGGAAAAGGACCCAATGATAAAAAAAATCATGTACTATCCAGGATGATTTTGGGCCGTGAGACTCATGTTCGCAATCTCTTAAGAAAGAGTCTCTGAGCACCGTACTCAGTAAAAGATCCTCCTATACTACTTTCTAAAGTCCTCCTGCATTACAGAGATTCTCCAAGCAAATTAAGTTTCTGCCTGAGCACTGCTTAAGTTTCATTCTGGTTATAGTCTCTTTTAGCAGATTTACTACAATAATGACGATGCTGAAGCAAAGTAATGGGAAAGAGAGAATTTACTAAGTTGAATGTGGTATTAGTCTCCAGAATAGATACTAGTCATTGAAGACAGAGGCTGATAAAACCCCCCACCTTTTTCAAGTAGTGAAATATGGATCATCTTGTGGGAACTAATATTAATTGCCCTGCATCCCAAACAACTCTTAATAGAAACAAATAATCAAAAGAAGAGAAATGGAACATTTGAAAGCTGTCTTCTGGACACCAAAGCTCCCAGATGGTGATGCAATGATTGAGTTCAAGGAAAACATTCTGCCTAAAACACACATGGTTCATTTTGATATGTGGTGATGTGGATGTGTTAGGCATGTTTGAGAATGACCTGTCTAATGCCAGAATAAGAGTTTTCTTTGAGTCAGGAGCAGGACGGAGCGAGGCATTCCACATTCATTTCCATTAAGGACAGGGAAGGAGGACTCAAAGAATAAAAAGTATTGCCAGAGATGTCAAAACCAGAACACAGCCCAAGTTATGCAGAGTACAAGTTTTCTGGTGAGACCTGCCGCAAGTAGAAAGGGAAAGCTGCATGGCTGAATTAGAAGGGAATGATGGGTGCTTCTCCCTTCAGAACTTCTGTCTGAAGAAGCAAACAAACCTCTCTTCCCTGAGCAGGGGCAAGCAAAGGTCCCATCTGTGCAACCGGGAACATGAATTGCAGGCAGAAAGGAGGCACAAAGTCTTCTCTTAAAATAACTTCTGACAAATGAAGATGGGACTCTTCAGAGAAGAATGTGTTGCAGACTTGAGAGTAGTCCACCCTATGATCTTCAGTAAGAGCTCAAGAGACACCAAAGTAACATCAAGGAACCAGCATTTTAGCAAAGTCAAAATACTACTAGGTATTTATAACCTCTGTGTCAGATGCACATATGTATGATATTCACTCACCTTTTTTACCTTTGATTTTTCTTCTCTTATTCTTTCTTTCTAGACTAGGGATTTCAGGAGACGATCCCTCCTGCAAGTAAAATCATTTATTAACAAAAGCTACAAGAGCAATTTTGCCTAAATCAAGAAGTCAAACATCCACTGTCTTTTCAACCATTACTTGTGCCCACAGAAAAGAATATACAATTAATTTTGCACATTCTTCTATAACTCGTCCTTCCCTCTGCCCTTAAAAGAGGGAGGGCAACAAAGTGAGTGCCATGTTTTCATCTCAACTAGGGAGAAATATTAAACAAGCTGACAGCCTTCCACTTGCTCAGGTGTTTAAGGCCACACTTGGGTCAGATTTTCTGCTCTGCAGCTTTAGTTGAGGGTCTAGAGGATTAAATCAGTGAGGAATTGAAATTATAACTTTTTTCATATAAAGACCCCCACATTTTGAGGACTTTGATGAGAACCATTTTTTCGCCCCTTTGGGTAAGTTCAAGACAGGACAGTGAAACAAATTCAGTTTTAAGGATAAAATTTTAAGTATGTAATTTTGTAAAAAGGGTTGTCTTTCCCAGGAACACCTCAGGAAAACAAATTTCTACTACATTCTAGCGCCAATTTAAGTTTTGAAGCACCAAGATCCTTGCTACAAAACCAAGTACTCCCATGGAAATATTTTAATAGCTCTCATTTACTAGCATAGCATGCCAGTTACCAAATCAAAATTAAAAAGCATTTGCCACTCCTACTAATTAAAAAAGATTAAGAAGTAGTCCTGCAGTAGGAAGGCAGAAATTGAAAAGATTCTTAAAGAAAATTCAAATTAGTTTGAGGCTAGCAATATACAAGACAATAAAATGAAAAAAGCCCTCCTTGCAGAGATCCTTCCAAGACTGAATGACCACTGCCAAGGAAAAAACATTTTTTAGCACATCAAAGCTGGACAAAATTGCACACTTACTCCGGTTGCTCTTCGTTTCTTTCCAATTCCTTGGCTGTCATTCTGCTCAGTACCAGATGTGCAGCTACTGTCTGTAGCTGCATCTATGTTATTAAACACTGCAAGAAGTGAGGCATTATTTGAAGTTGGATGATTTTCTCCTGAGATTTCTAGTACATTTTGTTTTTCAAGAAGGGGTGTTCTCTTCTCTGGGCTCTCCTGGTCTTGTTTTGTGAGGCCTGTGACCTCAGAGGTGGCCTGTAGGCTGTGTCTCCTTCCAGTAGTCTCAGTTCTTTCAGACATAAGCGGTGACAAAGGAAGAGAAGATGTCTCCCGTTTCAAGTCAGCCTCAATGTCAGGGCTTGCCTCATACCCAGATGTTATGTGGTGTGAGTGGCTGGCTGCAAATATTTGCCTTTGTCCACTTTCTTTTATTTTGGCTTGTTCACTGAAGAAGCTATAAGCAGAAGGATTTCTGTCTGCAATAACACTGCTTTCAGAAAAGCTACGTTTTCTGGCTGAGCCAGGCACTGCTAAGGAAATCCCTTCCCACTGGAATCCTTCCAGAGTAGACAGATCAGATTCTTCACCAAGTTCTAGACTCTCTTGCTCATTTTGAACAAGAGGCACCATTTCTATGCCAAACCTTTAACAAGATAAAAAGAAAAATAAATACACATGTAACAAGCCAGCTAAGTATAGAAAAAAGCCTCTCCCTTCCCCAAATGCACATTACTGCTTTAAGAGATCTGGCAACTCATTACACTGGTATTCTATGCCTTCTGTCTCATCTGGAAATGGAGTATCTTTTGTGTATCACAAAATTAGATTTAGCGGCTAAGAACTGACAACATGATTTCCAAGTCAGAAATCATGCTATAATTATTTCAAACCAAGTTTGGAATAAGAAAATATGATATCTTTTCAAGACGCTTCAAAAACTTCAGGTTTAAAGAAAGTTTCAAAAGTGAAGTATCATATAATTTCCTCCTCTAAACACAAAACCAAGCTGTATATCAGATTAAAAGATTAAAAAATGAAGTGCAAGCATTTATTCTGCCTGCAGCATGTAAGCACTTCTTGCAGTCCTGAATAAATGAATAAGCAATTGTCACAGCATTGTTCACATCTTGATTGTATTTTCACATTCTTCCACTTACTAGAACTTGAAAAGCAAATATATTGCTAGTGTCCATATTCAGATATTAAGCAACGACTATGAACTGATCAGAATCTTTTCTGAGCAGCAGACTACTACTACTTATCTATGGATAGATATCCACAGCTGCAAGAAATCATAAAAACTCTAAATTATTTGTATATGCAACAGATCGTGGTAGAGAAAGCTTCCTTCTGAAGTCCTAGTTTTAGGATTCTGGAATTCATTTCAGAATTGGAGAAAAACAACCCTCACCCTTGAATGCAAACACAGAGAGGCATGGTTAGATCTGAAAGCTACCAACCTTGGTAAACCTTTGCCAAGTTCCTGTTTCTTCTTGGTTACCTGCTGGATGACTTGATCCCAGTTTACATTTCTCCGGGAAGCACTAAGAATCTGTCTGAGGGTGGGTTTAAGCCCTGACTCCTTCTCAGTCTCACTCCTCCGATGGCCACTCACATTCCGAATGCGCCGTGCATTATTGAGATTGGGCTCCGGGAGATGTGTCCCGACTTTGCTCTTCAGACTAATATGTCGTGTCAAGTCTCTTTGCAGAGATGCAGGGAGGCCAAGTTTGCTTAAATCAGGAAGAACCAGGCCTAGTGACTGGCCTCCTCCTTTTTGCAGCTCATGATCTGAAGGATTTTCAAAACCTTCCATTTCAAAGTGATCATGTGACTTGACATGCTCTTCATCCCCTTCTCCATCCTGTAAGGAGGTTTTCAAATCCACATGCAAATGGTCCTGACCACTTGATGGAGAAACTGTGGATTCCATCTGAAACGTAGAATCTTTTAGATCAGCAGAAATAATACTTGAAGCAGCAGGTTTTTCATCATCTTCCTTTTCAGAGGTGGCAGATTTAGCTTCTGGAGTGTCACAGGGTAAACAAGAACTAACAGAAGAACCCAACCTTTCGACTCTTGCTTCTGACTTCTCATTTACCGTTAGATCATCATCGCTCACCTCTTCTAACGAATCTAGTCTGAACTCGTTTTTTGGTGATGCTTTCCCAGTTTCTTCCCTATTCTGGTCACTTGAATCCTTCCAAGAGCTTAAAGGAAGATTTTGCAAGGAATGATTGGACTGAACGTCTTTGGGGTTTTGTTCTGCTTCACTTGAGTTATTAACAGGCTCTCCAAGATCGCTACCAAGCACATCTTTGTTGTCTTGTAAGTTACCAGGACATGCACCATGCAGCTTCGGAGAATAAGAGGAGAAACTGTTTGTTTCCAAGTTCACTGCATTCAAATGTTTCTGCTCTTCGCCACTAGTTGAGGATAACAGAAGCTTGACATTTTTTAAGAGACTGCCTGTGTCTTGCTTTGGGGAAGATAACTTCCTATCTGTGATATTCAGAAGAGGGGATTTCAGTGATGGCATCTTATTACTTCTGCCATCATCTTTGTCAGGCTTTTCACCACTGGAACAGTCTTCCATTACCTTGCAAGAACCAAGGTGATCTGAGGTTACATTAGAAGAGGAAGATGCTTCCTGCTTTTTGAGTTTTGAAAGGCTAACATTGGCTTCAGAAGTTTTTCCTTTCATTGATGAATCAGTAAGAGGCATAAATACAGAATCTATTTTATCTGGAGTTTTAGAAACATTATCTTCAGATCGTGGTTGCTGCTCTGCAGCTTTCTGGGATGGGTAGGGAGTCCAGCGATACATTTTATCTCTGGAAGGACTACCACTTTTTCCACTGGCTCTTGAAGTTTTGCTTTCTGGTTGCTTCGACGTACCAAAATCCAATGCCCCCTCAGAAGGAAGTTTATCGCTAGTAAAATCAAGCAAGTCACTCCTATTTTTTCGATCTCTGTATGGCAGAACATCAATGTCTTTCTCCTGCCGCTGCCATGCATATCTTTCCTTATTGTATTTAATTGGCTCTACCGAATATGTATCTCCTGAGTTTCCAAAATTCCAGCTATTTGCACCATGAGGACTAGATTTCCAGTTTCCTCCATAACTCTTGGAATTCCAGCTAGAAAAATGACCTGTTCCTTCTGAGTGCCAAGTAGAATTTCTCTCCCTGGCACTGTGATGCCAACTTTGTGTTCCTCCTCCCCGCCCACTTGGATGCCAAACATTTCCAGAATTCCCATAGTTATGTCTATTTGAAGAGCTTCCTGAAACATTTTGGTGCCACCCAGAGCGTCCTCTTGGGCCACCTGAATGTCTGTTTATATTAAGGTTCCTCTGAGAGTGTGAAAATTTGCCTTGTCTAGAGCCAATATAATCATCCTTTTCCCACTTCCAGTCCCTTTGTGATGCATTGTGATGATGCCAGGATGATTGATCATAAGCTTCTCTTTCTTTATAAGTAGCTCGCTCTTCTCGCCTTCTCTGTAATCTCCTATCATCACATTCTAATTCTTGGTTTGCACAGTTTGGTTCAGCTTGCCTACAAAACAATTGAGAAAAACTAAATTCTGATGTCATTCCACTGAAATCCAACAGCATACAAGTCTTATGCACTTTATCTGCACTGGGAAGAAAACATTATTTTTTCTTTTTATAAAAAGAAACAGAGATAACTTATTTAGCTGCTTTAGTGTGCAGGCTTCCATAGTATTTGACTTTCAAAACTAATGTCGTACCTTTACTTAAACATGGTATTTCAAAACTGCTCTTAAAAGAACAACTGATTTGGTGCAGTAACAGTTCAATAGACTAATTCTTAATATTTCCGTTTAACTCAGAAGATAATATTCCTTTCTATTTACTAGTTATTGGACTAATAAGAAACAAACAAAAAGAAAGCTTCTTTCTTTTGTATAATCTTTTTAACTTGAGTAATCTTGATAGATGAAAAATTAGTGACACAATTATTTTTTCATTCTGAAGACTATTCTGTTTGTGTTAGATGGCATAGCAAGAGTCAACTGATACAAAATAGAAGAAAAGTTAAGCTGAGAAAAGCAGTTATTCTACTTACTGGAGAACAAAACTGACATCATGCCTCAGTTTATAAAGCTTAAGTTAAAACACGGATGTAAAAAATCCACAGAAGTTGTACCTCGGATACAAAAACATTTTGTCTTGTTTTAACCAACAGGCCCCAATAGTCCACAGCATGCAATGCTGAGTCCGTATGAGCCTCCCAGAAGCACTGTCTACTGCCCTTTGGATAGTACTTGTGCTTGGCAACTTATCATGAACACGTGGTAAATTATCACATGTACATTTAAAGATAAATGCTACCTTAACACCAACAGCTATTCCCAGGGCCAGCGGTTGAAACATTCTAAGTATTTATGCTACCAAATGAGTGTCTTTATGAAAAGTTTTTCCAAAAACTGATTACAGAAATGTTTCTTTCTGATGTTACAGGAATACATTCATTCTAGATCCCTGGACAAGCAAGACAGGAAACTTTGACACTACTGCTCAAAATCAATTGATTTGAGTAAACTGAAAATTCATATGGTACCATCCTTTAAGTTTTCAACACATTCCAATTTTGCTAAAAGATGCACAAATAATTACTCTTTAATGGGAAATAGCCTACTACATAAGGTAAAGTGAGCTCTAAGGCAAGAATTCAAAGAAGCGATGTCTAAGTGATACCGTAAGTTCTAGGAGCTGACTCAACTCGTTTATGATCTAATGGAAACAATTTTGCTGTATTATTAACTTAATCCATGTACTTTCTTTTTTCCCCCCCTTCCAAACCAGCATCCAGCAGAGAGAGATTTTTCTAAGATTTTAGTTGCCTCAGAATACCACTGTACTGACAGCATTATTCCTTTACCACAAAACCAGGAAAAGTGACATTGTTGCTACCTACATTGACTAATACGAAAACATGACCATCATGCAGTACAGGGACATCCTTGCATGACAGAATGGTGTCAAAACCAAATAATCGTCACAGATTTGTGCACATGGAGATGCTAATTGAAATTTCTAGCCACAGCAAGCAACAGCTTCTTTCAAAAAATCATATACCCCTTTAATACCATCACCATGCCATAGATCTATTCAAACAATATATTCCCAACTGGAACATCATATTAGCAATGCACACTTGCAGAGTGACATGGAAGATAAAAGGCAATACTTATTACTCTCTGCAGCCTTCTATTTCACAGTGAGACACTAGAATTATGTTTAGCTAATGGTAAGCAGTAAGAAAAAACAGGCAAGAAATTTCATTCAAGGATTATGGGATTCCAGTATGACATTGACAGAACAATCAAATTAATTTTAAAAACAGACATATTAAAAGTTTTATACCAAAGCATGTTCAGCAACAGTTTCTAAAAGGCCAGGTTCCTACAGAGACCCCCTGCCCCAAACAATACTAGCACTACTGTCACATTTATTAAGCCTTTCAGCTAAATGGGTATCAAATATTAAAATAAAAACATTAGGGCTCTCAAAACACAAGACTCCACACCGAGAACTGTTTTTATCCATAATGGAGAATAGTTGTACTTCCTTACTAGCAGTAGATCAATAGAACAAGAACATTCAGCAGAATCACATTTACATGTTGAAGCTACAATATCCACCTAGGTCTCTTGGATTGTTCTCATAACAAGTACACTGGCTACAGGCAGTTTACATATCATGAGCACCTAAGCCTTAGGACCGTATCCCAACTGTGTTAAAAGCAATTCTACAACCTAAGAGGAAAAAGCAAAACTCACCGATTCCGTTCCTTCCTTTGCTTGATTAGTTGAATGAGTTCTTTGTCAAGGTATTCTTCTTCTGCCTCTTCTTTCTCTTCCTCTTTTCTGTCATAGGCATCAACATTGTCTTTGTGCAGCTGGCTGGAGATGTGCTTGGCATATGCTGACAAACCCACCAGTGTCACCCTGCACACCCGGCATTCATGGTTGCTGTCCCTAGGAAGAGAGGCAGAGGGTGGACTTTCAGCTCTGCCAATAGGCATGGCAGGTATCTCTGGTCTTACTTTGTTTCCTCTGAATGTGCTTGAGTTCAAGGTAACTAGGTTTTGCTCAGTATATTTAAGTTACTTGAATTCTCTGGCTTTTTCTTTCAAGGTCTAATTTTTTGATGGTCAGTTTTTAAAAGATTTTTTTCCAACAATCAAGAGGTAAAAGACTTGGTAATAAAGCAGCTTTAATTGGGAGGAGGAATTCTTCTTGAATTGTTGTACTCAAAATCTTTTCAGAGGAAACATAGTGAGCGAGGAGGCAGAGTGGAAGGCTTACAGAGCTAGCAGGAGCTGCTCTGAAGCCCATCCATGGTGCCAGCTGCACTGGGGAAGCCTGGTGACAGCTTCTACATTTAATCCTTGCCTTGAGCCTTCCCCCAGTGAAATTTAGAAAAGGGAGGACGCAGTACATGGATACAGCCAATCCTGATACAACACAACCTAAACTGGGACAGCTGAGACTGCTGCCTGGAATCCAAAGACTCCACAGCACAGCGAGCAACGGGAGGGTGTCTTCAGTTCACTGTACTTTATTTGGTTCAAGTGTGCATGAGGTCTGCTTTCTACTTTAGAGGACTTATCTTAAAAAATACAGAAATCATTTCAGCTGGAGAAAGTTGACAGCTGTGTCAGACAAATGGCTTTACTCATGTTTCAGTGAATACTGGCTTAAGGTTAGATTTTTTTACTTTTTTTTTTTTTTTTTTAAGAAATTGAGATTTCTAAAAATACCTTATTTGTTCTCATGACAAATCCTTTCAATACACCACTGTTAAGGAAACACATTGTTAATAATAAACCGAAACAAGGAAAATATGTTTACCAGTTAAAAAAAGGTCAGAAAAAAATTAATGAGAGCATGGTCCACTCCAAATAACTCAGTGGGACCAAGTTAGGACTCACTGTCTGCCTCCACAAAGCTCTCTTCAATTCTGCCATTTAATTCATAAAAGCAGATCTCCATATCCCTATGTTGTACTTGAGACCGAAGTCTTATAACAGTAGCATTACAATACCAACACAAAGTTCATGAATGGGGTCAAAAAAATGGGATCCATAAAGGAAAAAGACAAACATGAATCCTTGGGTTTTTAGAGAAAAGTTGAAAATAAAACAAGGGTGGGTGGGGGAATATCAAAAGATGCACCTTCACTCAAGATATTAAGTCAACGTCTTTATCGAACTTACTGAAGCATCAACAGCTATGTTTTATTTATCCTGGAAATCTGGTTTTCGCAATAACATAGTTGAGATATTTAACCAACGCAGTCATTCAGGCACAGCTAGAGATGGTTTTACTTTAAATAGACTAATTCATTAAAATTACATTTTTTACATTTAATTATTTTGTATGTTGCAGCCTTTTCAGATTAAATATTTGGATAAATTTCATTTATGAAATCAGTAGCTTACAAATTTAACCTGTATTTTCCAGAGAGGGGTGTACTTCATTTTGCACACTTCACACTCTAATAAATATTCAAAGCCCAGACACTTTCTATTGTACTTTGGGCTATCTCATTAACCCAATAAAGATAACCAAAAACAATCAGTAAATTTTATTAATGCTGTTGGAAGAATCCTCTCCACACTCACAAATGGCACAGCTATGCATTGCTAATAAGACTTATTTTTAACTTAGGCCATCACACATGGCAAACTGCAAATAGAAAGTTGGCTTCTTGCTGAAAAAGGTGGTGGTCTTACATAATGTTCCATTTCAATCATACAGACACTTCAACAAGAAACACCTCAGTGGTATTAATTACATTTTAGAGAACAATCCAAATCCTTCATAAGACCTGTGTTTCAATTCTTTCATAAAACTTTCATCATCCTCATTTATAGACTAACCAAATAAATGCAAAGTTTTACTTACATTGGACAAAGCCAGTGAGTTAGCAGCTGGCCTAAGGACAGAGGACTTGTTTCGATCACTTTTAACTTGCAAGTTACTAATTACAAAGCTGTGGCTCTTGTACCAACTGACAGTTCAGAAAGAAAAAACTCAAGTGGGTAGTGACTAGACTTCTCTGTCCTGCTCTTAATCTGTATGATCCTAAAGAAAAAAACACAACACTATTTTTTTCTATATGAGCAACTGCTTTAATGGAACATGAATTGGCAAGGAGTTCAGATAGTTCTACTTAAGGGAATTTAGATGCCCTTCAGTTCTTTCCTTCTCCTTATCCCTACTAATATCAGCCAGAACTGGGCACACTCCACCACACACCCTGATCATCTCTATGCATTTCTCTACCATACAGGAACACACACAATCTTAGTTGTTCAACAAGAAGGCCAAAAGCAGTTTGAAATGAACATGACAAAAGTATTCTCAGTATGAAAACATCCAGAGTTTTATTTACTGGATGTGTAACTCAGATGGCAGACTCAATGTGTCTCAAACAAGAGCATTATTCCACTTTCAATTAAAAAAAAACCACCAACAACCCACAAAAAACAACAAACAAAAAAAAAGGTAAATCTTTGTACTTGACATCCAATTCTTATAGATCACATGGAGTAAGACTTCAAGAAGAGAAGAGCCTTAAAATGTTTCAGAAAATTATTCTAGTCCTTGAGACTATTAACTTCAAAAGGAGAAAAGTGCAAACAAACATGTGCATTTCCTTTACCTCTTCCCTACAGGAAGTCTAAAAAGTGACTTCTAGTCAGATGTTAAATTTGAAGGTAGTGAAATGCTGATGCAACACACTTTAATGGCATTACCCTGTTACACAGTTCAAACACACTCACGAGGCTGCTGCTTGTGCTTCACATTTTCTACTTGGAGTACCTTTTGCTTTAGAAGGCTGTAAGACTCCTAAAAGACTTCTACTAAACTTAAATGGGAGGAAAAAGGAGAGGCACAGGGGAAGAGAACAAGGCTGCTGCTGCTGCACAGTGAAAAATGAAGGTCATTTTTGTTTTGAGAACAAACATCTTCCATGCATTCTTCTGAAAGAAGTAATGAATTTCGGAAATGGAGAACCAAGAATTGTCAGATCACTTGCAAGCCACTGCAGACACAATATATAACTTCTAGAAATTACTGTTACCTTCAAGAGTCATTAACTAAAAACAAATTAAAAATATTAACTCAGAAGGCCAGAAATAAGATGCCAAAATATGTGAAATTTTAAGCTGATCTCAGAATCATTGTCAGAAGAAAAAAGTCCAGGACAGAAATGCTCTACAAGTTAGCTGACCAGAGCCCTGTGTCAGCTTCTAGTGCAGAAGACATTCTAGTTTCTGAGCAACACCTTCCCAGCTGTTCAGTAACAGAACAAATCCTTCTCACGCTCAACAGGACAGATATTGAATAGCATGATGCACTTGGTCCCAAGGAGATTTTCAGAATATTCCTAGCTCCCAAGACCCAGTTGTGTGGGGCACAGCAGAGAAGAAAACAAAATTATCTGGGGTTTTTTTGTTTTCTTTTATTTTTAAGTAGCTGAATTCAGAACAAAAACAACACAAAATGTAGGGCTGAGCAAGGAATGGCAATGGCAGGAGGAAAAAAAAAGAAAAAAGGAAGAGGATGTGAGGAATTTATCATTTTTATGCCCTCCACCGTTAATACAAAGTCAATTTTTATTTGAAACAAATGAAATAGCTTCCAAAAACCTGCTTTCATACCTTTTCTCAATGTGACACAAGAACAAATTTTTTAATCTGGACAACTTGAAGATTTTCTGAATCCTATTAAAACAAATTTAATTTCAAAAGGGAATTATTTAATTTTATTTCTGATATATTTTAACATTTTGATAGTCCACACAATCCCTGCCTAAAGACAGGCTGATGATAGAGATTCTGAAGACAGAAGTTCTTTTCCCAGTTTACTAACCTGCTGTGAAGCCCCAGACAAATTAATCAATATTAAATGGAAGTAGAAATTGTCTAATTTACTTAGGTTATTTACTGGCAGTTAATATGCACTTCAGGTTAGACTTAGGTTATTTACTGGCAGTTAATATGCACTTCAAGGTAAGCCGTATCTTTTTACTTATTGTCCTGCAGTAAGGGTCTCTTTTTTTATTTTGGAGAGGTAATTTTAAATGTTAGCAGATGTAAGTGGGCATACACATATACTACAGATTTTCTGGATGTCTTAACCTGTAAACATTTTAAGGTGCTGATTTAGACAAACTACAACAATACTTAGCAATTATACACAACAGTAGTATAAAATACTATACAGCTGCCTTAAGCAAACACCTTCATCTGCAGCTTGTATGCAGTACAATCTTGTGCTCCAAACATGGACATTTCTCTGCAGCTACACATAGGCTTTGTATATAAAAAGTTACTGCAGAAAAATAAGTTTCTAAGTTCCTCTAGTTTTGAAACATTATAAAACAAAACAGTTTAAGAGTTTTACTAGAATTCAACCTGTCAGGACTTAACTACATTGGTATTAGTATCTATGATAGTATTCTTCTTTAATAGTTAACTCTTTTAAAAAAGGGGCCTGCAGCCCTAACAGCTACTCTCACCTTGCACAAAATCACAGAATAAAAGCTACATGAATTAAAAGCTAGCATATGAACAGAAGTACTCTACAATTTTTCTTCCCTGGATATAAGACAGATGTTCTGACAAAATGGATCTCCCACACCTCTTAGGAGTTGAAAGAGGATCATTTCTTAGTCTTTAAAAGGTGTTTAAAAGAGATTTGCTATTTCCATATAAAGTTTGTGCTGCAAGATGATTAAAAATTATTCCGTAAATCAAATACTTAAGTGCAGAGAATACTTAATAGTCAGATACTTAAGATCAGACGATCTGATCTCTCTGGCTACCTCAAAACCCATACACCTGAAAGCACTTTTAAGTGCATTCTAGTTACAATCTGATTCCATATTGTCAGGACGATATTTGAGCACCCCTTAACTCCTTCCTCTGGCTTTCCAAATGTTGCAAATAAAACCAAGGAAACCAGAAGGAAAACACCAACCACCATGGTTAGGTGCTTTAACCAAACAACTGGAGGTAGTAGAGGAAAAGGCAGTCACTCAAGCAGATGCAGACTTTACATCCAAGATACCAGTCTTCTCACAGTGGTTTAAAAGATCGACAACTATTTCTACATCATTGAAAACTTTTAAAAAACATTTTAAAAAAGGAAGATATCAATGTCCATAATTCTGCCAAAGTGCTTCCAAGAAACCAAGGATGAAACTGCCAAAACCTAAAAAAACATGTTCTTTAATTTTATTTCACTGCAGTCCAAGATTCTTCCACATCACTGTTTGTCTCCTGAGTTTCTGACATTAAGAGAACATGTTCATTGCCAGCTTTATCACAAGGCATGCAACTAAGTGATGCATAAAAATAAATTGTGCCATTCAGCCTGTATGGGAAATGGAACATGCATTCTTCCAGAGAGTGACATACAAAATGCGGAGAGAGGAAGGATGCAAGATTGTTCTCATACCTTCCCTTCAGGTTTTCAAGTTCTCTGTGGTGAAGCATGCTTCTCATGTGTTCTTCCATCTCCTTCAATATGGAAAAAAAGATAAAATTGGTCACAACAAAACAAAATGGTGTATCATATTTGAAAAGCTCCCTTTTGAGAAGTCTGCAGCCTTGCAGGAAGGCGTACTCTGCTCCTGTAGGGCTGTAGCAGTTGCCATTCCCATTTCTGTGGCCATGAAAGCACAAGTAGTCACTCTCAGGAAGTCATATAATGTTACCTTTCCTGAGGAAGGACACACAGGAGTCATTAGAATTCAACAGAAGGGGAGTAGCATTCCAGGAGAAAGACAAACAGGAGTGCATGTAGCAAAGCTTATTAGATTGATTTTTGACAAATGACTGCTGATCATATTTTTTAATAAAAGTCTCATTGATACGACTCTGCAGAATCACAGTACTTAAAACATTGTTTTCCCGTGCAATCTGTGCAGTCTCTCTGTATTTGTATTACGACACAGTTATAACTTCATCACATACTATTTTACTCTGCTAGATGCACTTCAGAAACTGAGATGTACATAACATGTCAGTTTGTTGTTTACAGCAACCTTGCTCTGTGAACTGCAGTGCTGTTATACTTAATTCTTATTGAAAGAGAGCTGCTGGAAGAGAAAGATTGTTTATAACTCAGCAAAAGGAAGCAGTTCAGAAGATTTAACTTTCTCTTGGTATTTGAGACAAAGTGTTTGGAAATCTTCAAAGAACAGATACTTGTCACTATCCTCTTTAGTCATTCAAATCCCATCTGCAAAGGGAAAACAACATCTTCAACCCTGAAGAGTTGTGTGAATTAATACATTGGCATTTGCAAGATATCCATGTACCATAAGGCATGGTACAATGAAGGTCCATTAAAACACACTCAGTTTCAATACATGCTTCGCATGATATGTGGTACACAGAAGATACACGCCACAATGACACATTAATGAAAACACGTGCTGTGCTGCATAATTCCACATCTCCTTCCACACAGAAACACAGACCTCCCAAAAGGAATAAAAAACTATGTATTATAGTATACTTAACATATCACAATTTATAGCCAAATGAGTTTGAATGCTCTTCACTATAGTATCTTTATACAACAATATAAAAACTCCAACACCTCAATATTTTTAACATTCAGAATCAAACATACTGCACAGCTCATTTCAAGAAAGGGACTCTAAAACACATGCTAATACATTATTCGATTTGTGATAGACCTAGATCAATATATTCCTGGTAGAGGGAAAAACCCTCATACTTCAAACAACTTTAAAATGGAAGCATTTCTTACACACATTTTATGTTAATAGCTTCATATTAGTATCTACAGATAGATGTAAAGCATTAATTATTTACCTTTTTTGAGTTGTACACAATGTGACATAATACGCATTTTTGTTCTCGAACCATGCTTATCACTCTGGAAAGATCCTATCCCATACCTGCAAGTAAAAATAATTTAAAAAGAACCAACATTCAGGATTACTTCCCCCTCCATTAACCTGTTTTAGTAAAGTAAAAATAAGTTACTATCCATGAAAACACTTGTGCTGAGTTTCTTTAACAGAATACATACCTCTTGTGCATAGTCAATATTCTTCAAAAAAAGATAAGGTAGTTTTGAATAGTCGTATAAAATAGCTATAATAATATGTACCTTTCCCTTTCTTTAATTTTGTTCCTGGTCCTTCAAGACATGGCACTCATTCTACAAGCAGAGATCTGTAGGAATCCTCTCAGCTACTCAAATCAGATTAACAAAACATTTTTCAACTAGGATGATGACAGGGAGATAAGGAATTGGGAAAACCAAGCAGGGCAAACTCAGATCTGTATTTTGGTACACAGGGCAGCTCAAGTAAGATACATAAGGCCCAAGGAAAATGAAACAAAGGCCATTCATGAGATCAAAGACCTCCAGTCTTCGAGGTTTATCAGTCCATTTATTCAACATAAAACCTAAAGTGATTTAAATTCAGTACTTTTCTCATTAACCTCTGTAAGAACTAAACTATGCATGTACTGAAACGATTCAGACAGCATTTTAAGATACATTCTCTAACACCATGCTCTAAAAGGGCACTTTATATATTTGAATCATTAATAAAAGCTATTGATTTTAATTATTCCCAACAGTACAAGATTATTCAAAACTTTGCACGAGAATATTAAACATTTTAACACTGATCTACTTAAGACTTGCATATATGCAAATGAAAGCAGCAGCAGGTCAAATTAAATGCCACATGTATTTTATCGTAATGTTTAATTCATAAGGACAGCAATTAAATTAGAGAGGTACATAACAGTCTAGGTTGTAATACGAAGACGGACATGTCTGCATAAGCAACAGGGTATAATCTTTGCTCTTTTCTTTCTCCTAAAAGACACTAAAATGCAGAATGATCAAGCATTATAGTAATTTTTTATTGACTTGGCAGAGGCAGTTCCTCACCCTGAAGCGGAAAGAAATGTATCTTTTTACTACTAGGCATTTCTAGGCATTTTTATATCTCCACACAAAAAGACAAACCCTTCTAAGCTTTGCTATCTTACATTAGTCAACTTCAGCGCTAACTTAGCTGATAGCATCAAATAACCTACAAGAGCCTTTTTCAACATCTCCACAGCTTACCCTACCAAGTTCATTCTAATTGTTTATCTTCAACTTTCTCTATCGAGGGCATCAAATCCTCTGAATATGGTCCTGACTAGAAACTGTGAGCAGAGAAAGAAGTGGATCTTTACTAAATCCAGATTACCTAGAATTAAAGCAGCTCTGAGGTTCAGTGGTACTGTCCAACTGTAAACAAACAAAAATAAGGAAAACCACACCCACTCTAATTCCAAAATGTGGTTCTTTGACATATAACTCTTTTCCTCCAAATTTGCGTGTCCATTTACAGTTAACATATGCACCAGCATCTGTCCAGCTTAAAAGCAAAGGAACTGACAGTTGCAATAGACCTTTCACTTTCAGACAGCAGGGAAAGCAGTTTCCTCCATAAAAAAATCCACACTATCATACTGAAACAAACACACTTAAAACACAACAGGAGATTCTATTATCTTCTTATGTTCCCTAATCCGCATTCCTAGGGTGCCATTCTTGATGTCACAGAAATACCTGATAGTGTTTAAATATGCATTCTCTAGCTTTATCACATGGGGACATGTGATGTACTCAAATCATTAGTAACAGCTATTTATTTTGACAAATCACCCCCAACAAGGTACAAGATTGTTTAGAACTTTGCACCAGCCTAGGTCATATAGAGCATGCACATAAATTCATATGAGATCAGTGATATGCATGCGAAAGCACCTGCCTTCATGGAAGGCCAGAACACAAAAATACCAAGTTTTTGAACAAATTATTTTGAAACCACATACAAAGAGTATAACTTGGTTTCGAACATATTTCAACTGAGACTGCAGTTAAGGAAAGTTTAAGCTAACATGAGTAGAGGCAGAAAATGAGGTTTTTGAGCCTTATGATTTTCCAGTAGGTTATTAGGTGAGTACAGGAGCACATCATCAACATACTGTTTATACACAGACCTGTGCAGCTGCAACAGATCTAAGAGAATTACTTATGATTATACAAAAGTGACAAGGGTTTGGATGCCTACCCAATATAGGAGAGCTGTTTTAATGTAATTAATAAGAAGTTACTCCTGAAAAGCAAGGGTGCTAATCCCTGCACCAATTTCAGAGACTTCCTTTTGCACGAAAATATTCTGTACTCCCCCAACATTCTTCACCAGTACTACTTTGTAGTTTAGCAGAGTAATACCCTACATGTGTTCAGGATCTTGTTCAAGATTACTCAAGTATTTAAAGAATTCATTCTGCACAACAGTGAAACAGCAGCATGCGACTTAAATCAGGAAAAGCAACCCAGTAAAGTATGGTGACTTGCTGACACCAGTTAGCACATAACATTAAAAAGCTTTCACAAGTAGAGCTAACATTACACCTGCTTTGGCTAATTAAAACATATAGTAACTATACACGATTACAGGAAAAGTTTTAGGCTAACTGCCCAATCAACTGGGCATTACTTATGACAGAGTACTAAAAATACTAATGGAATTCAAACGCTATTGGATGTCACTATGAAAAGTGAAACTTTCACCTCCACAGAAAGAAGCCCTTAGAGGCAAAGACTCAGAAGTAAAGAGATTCAGTAGATGCTACAGGCACTGGGAGATGACAGACCCACATTCTATTTCCAGATCACCTCTTGACTTACTGTCTACATAGAGATAAACCACTTCCCTTCATCCTTAGCTTTCTGCCAAATCCTGCTATAAGCCCTGTGGCTCGCTTTAATGAAGTACTTCAATTTCACTGTAAAAGAACTTTCACAAAATACTTTGAAAAACATTATAAATTCAAGGTATTCCCTCACTCACTATGCAACAGCGACAAGAACCAGACGGCTTTTGAGCCATGTAGTCAGTGATGGCATTTCATCTTATCATACACTGGTCTGTTCAATCACAAAACTTTCATACCAAGAAACTTAGAAACAGAGCTTTCGCTACATAAATGGACGCATATTTGAATCCTTAACAAAAAGAACCTCCCACACTTTAAACATCAAACAGCGTTCAAGCTTTTGTCAGATTTAACAGTTTGTGCTTTTCAACACCAACTTACTGCATAGAATAGGAAATTACTTCTTATGCGATGTTAATAGAAAAATCAGCAACTCTCAAAAATGGACAAACTGCAAGCAAAGATAAGGTTTTGCCAAAAAGACCCCACCACCATGTAAAAGAGAAACACATGTCAACAGCAAAATGTAAAGCCTTCAAAACAAATTATATGTTATGACAACTTTCTATTTGGAGGGAATGTAACTGTTCAGTGGTGATTTTTTATTTGTTTGTGTTAAAGGGAAAAGATGCATTTTATAGCTATATGATGTAAATGCAACTTGCCCATAGCCTACACCTGCTCAGAGCTTGGAAACATCACACAGTTTTAATTAACTTAAGCAAGTCTGCTACAGAGATTTGACAGAACACTTCTCACAAGTAAAAATAGCCTACAAAGAAAATAAGGTATTAGACTACTTCCTGCTATAACATCCATTTGTCCACAGTTATTCAACCTTACCGGATAACATACATTAAAAATGTATGTCAAGGTTAAATCTGCTACAGATCAGTGGCTGAACACTCTGACTATATAAAGCCACAAGTGCCATGGAGTGGGGCGGGCAGCCCAGAATTCCAGCTGCCTGGAAATCCTCAGGAGGCCTCAAAGAGATCAGCAGCACTGGCTTGTCTAAAGGTCTGCCTAAATGCTGCATGTCCCTACAGATAGCAGTGGAAACTCTACACTTGACGAGAACAGGAGTCTAGAAGTTCACTGTAGCAAAATGTTCTGCAGCAACACAGTCCTCAGCAATTCACCGAGATGTAGCTCCTTTTGCTTTAGTGACTTCTCTCCTGCAGCAACTGATTGCACATGTCCTAGCTGAGCTCTAGAACAGTAATACAGCTGCCACACACATGGGAAAGGAGAGGAGAGCAGAGAGGAAAGAAGCAACTCACCACAAAGTGCATTCATGAAATCTTTAGTTGGTTGATGGAAGGAAGTGATGGACACAAGGTCGTTTTGACTTGGAGAGAAGCCTCTTGATGAGAAGAATTGGGAATGGAAGTGTATTTAGGCCCCGGAAAGCACCTAAACAACCACTGCTAGGCTAGACCGCATGTAGTTTGATTATCAGCAGAACTTTGCCAATATGCTAAGAAGCCCGGTCTTTTCCCAGGAAAATCTGGAGAACCCCGTATAGGCCTTTGACAGCTGTATCCAGTCACTGATTTTGATAAACAAGTGCTACAAAGCGATAGCAGTTGGTAACCTAACTAAATAATGATCTATTAAAGCCTAGTAATAGAGAGAGTTTCTTAAGGAAAAATTTTATGACTATAAAACCATTTCCCTGTATTACACACTGCTCCAAACATCAAAGCCCTGTACTGCTGTGAGAATGCTGTACAAAACCAAGTAATTCATCATAATAAGACCGAGGCTTATGCTCAAATTTCATCACCTCGAGCAGAATTCATGTGGAATAAAGCACCAACATTCAAAGACTATCTTTCCTTCCCAGATACACTGCCTTTGAGGCATCTGAATTCACTACGCATCCCGTTGCTAGACCGTAACTTTTACCAATTACCTTAACATTACTTCTGGGCATATGTGGGAGGCACTTTAACCTTCCTTCCGAGATGCTGATCTGTGCAACCTAACCCAATCAAGAGACACAAACTTAAGGGCTTACTAAAGTTAAATCAGGACTAACAGCATTATTCTCCTCTAGCACACTACCATGCATTGTACAAGCTACTTCATAGTCACAGGGTGTTTTTTTTTAATGTGGCAATGGGGATAACTATATTACAGCC